TTCGGTCGCTGTACGGGAGCCTCCAGCGAACTGCCGAGCCCAAGAAGTTCGAATTTCCCGGAAAGAATTTGCTGTAGTCCGAAAATCGTGGCCACAGACTGCCCGGGATAAAAGTTGTTTAAGCGCAACGGCCAGGACGCGCAAAACCGGTTTGGGGTCTCTTTGGAGCGGCGTCGCCGCTGCCAGAACTTGCATACGTGATGGCGGGCAGGCTGCGAAGACAATTAACTGCCGGCTTGGCCTTGTCTGGGTGCCGGTCCGTTGCGTCACTGGCAAAGCGCCGACCGGCCACGCCGCTCCGCTCCGAATGTCCGGCCGCGGCCTTGGCCCGCACGTTTCGGGCGCACCATAGGCCGGCCGCCGCTCCGTCTCTATTCGAGACGGCTGGCGTCGAGTCGTAACCGCCAGCGACGCTTTCCAGCGGTGATGAAGGTCTCTGATTTCGCAACCCGGCGCGGCAGCCCCAGTGCTGACGGCCGAATATCACATGAGCGGCGACAAAACTCCATCAGTCAAACACCATTTAAGTCCCTGCATGCTTGCCAGTTCGCTTGGTGGGACGTACCGCCTTCTGGCCATTGTACGGTCCTGTCCAGCGCAATCGTTGTCATCTTGCATGCATGCATCAGGCGAGGCCAATGCATGTATTGTGCTTCTTCTGCACGCTTCGCCTGCCCCGAATTATGCGACGAGCTGTTCTTCCGAAAAGGGAGTAACGGCTTTCCGTGCTAGGCAATCGATGTTTTAAAAATACCACCACAGCCAGACATCAGGGTGTGGTCCAGAAGGCCCGCTGACCAAACAAACGAAAGCCCATACACGACTAACGTCTTTTCCCTGACATCCACACGATGACATGTAACAGGCACGCTTTATTTGTGTTAGCGTGGATAGATCGGAAGCGTCTTACGAGACCACCTCACAGCGATACACGGCACCGAAAACGCTGAGCTGGCAGTTCGGCGGCTGGCCTGCGACACCAAATGGCTTCGCAGACCCTCGCGTCCGCCACTTTCTCTCGGTCGGTCTGGCAGCCTCCCTCTCACACACAAGCTCTCTCCCCTCCGACCCTGACGCGTTCCACTGTTGTCACACTGGCCCGGGCGGCGAGAGGGACACCGTTACCACCCGGCCTGGAATCCAGCGCCGCTGCGGAACGGGGCCCCGACCCGGTGCCTGACACGCGATATGAAGCGGCGCCGCCCGCCGGAGCCGAACCTTCTGAGAACGCCGGCGGCGTCCGGTGTCTGGCGTCGCCGACGCGTCGCCAGAACTGAGCCAAGCCAGCAGCTGTGGCCGCCGGCTGTCATCCGGAGAAGATTTCATAACCCGGCGTGGCTTCGTGCGGACCGCACCGCCCACTCTTCTGGGGTGCACGGCGGGAGGACGGCAGCGACGTCCCGCCCGCCCCGGGCGGGACGTCGCTGCGATCCGCACGCCGCTCAGATCCGCCGCTGGCTGCGCACGCACCGACGGAGGAACCGTTTCGCATAAACGCAGCATCGACAGGCGCCAATAAGCCTTTCACAGCGTCAACAATGCCGTTACGGCCCAGACACGCCATGGGCGGCGTCTCAAACGAAAACAAATCAGCGAAAACGTTCGTGACCAGATTTACCGCCAACAAGGCCAAATTCGCAACATTAACGGAACGCAGTCACCGCTGCCCACACAAAGCATTCACAGAGCCGCCAACGACATGACCGATCATCACGGGGGCCACCCATTGATCAGACACGCCACTGGCGAGGTCACCTCGACCCAACGTGGCGACAAAGCACGCCATCGACGGAACCATCGATAGCTAGGCGCACAGCGAGCGGAACCCCTACTGCCCAGACACAGCAATCTCTGAGCAAACACACGGCGGGAACGGACCCCTGGAATCCCACCCGGATTGACACTGGACGGCGACACTGGACCGGACTGACACCGGACTGACACTGACACTGGACTGGACACTGGAGCTGGGCCGATGGCTGCCGTCTGGGGGGTCGGTATCGTTCGGGGCGATTCGAACATGCGTGCATCAGCTCTGACAATGCTTTCTCCGTTGCAGTGAGCCACCGCCGGCCAAGCGATTTTCACCCTCCGTCGATTTTTTGCGAGCTAATTGCACTTCCATGTCAAGCCATGTGTAGCCATCCATGCACCGCACACCAATACTAATGTTACGCTCGTCATACTGCAGCCCTTCAGCGACGGTGCGGCACGCGATCAAAAGTATTACACCGTAACGCTACAAGGAAATTGCGAGCTAACGCCAGCTAGACAATCACGCGAATGCCGGCGTCTGCTGGGGCGACCGAACCGGGTCCAGGCTGGCCCAGGATAGTGGCGCGGTACTGGTGGGGGTTGGACTTTGACGGCCATCTGCGCACGTGGCTGCTGGGATTACATATGTGTCACGATGACGCATGGCCAGTTGGAACCCTGCCGCAGATACCCGGCCATTAATCAATAAAGCGCAGATGCCACCAGGCCTAGCATTGCGCACTTGTGCTGTAATTAAACTCGCGGGCAAGTGAGGGCACACCTGCGAAATCTGGTTCTTTTAGCAGTGTGCCCCGCGGATTCCCAACAGCGCAGTCGCGTACATGGAAGTGAGCCCTGACCAGCGTCATTACACGGCTCTGCATGACACCCTTTTCAGTCCCTGTCACTTGTGCACAAGTGCGGGTCCAGAATGCCGCCTTGAGGAAGGGACGGGGAACAACCCTGGCTTGGGGGCCAAAATAAAAAAGCTGGCCTAATTTTCAGAGTCATCGGATTTCACTTTCTTCTTTCTTCGAGGAGTGTTCTTAAACAAACTTCGAGCAAAAGTTCTTAAGGTTTTCTACATGAAGGTGTCATCTTATGTCCAATCGCATACCTCTTAATAAAACTCATCCGGCAGTCCACATGTCCGTCACTGCACCCTCATCAGGACGGTCTCATGTCTGTCACTGCACCCTCATCAGTCGTCACATGTCCGTCACTGCACCCTCCTCAGTCCGATCACACGTCTGTCACTGTACCCTCATTAGTCGTCACATGTCTGTCACTGCACCCTCCTCAGTCCGATCACACGTCTGTCACTGAACCCTCATTAGTCGTCACATGTCTGTCACTGCACCCTCCTCAGTCCGATCACACGTCTGTCACTGAACCCTCATTAGTCGTCACGTCCGTCACTGCAACCTCATCAGCCATCACATGTCCGTCACTGAACCCTCTCAGCCCAGTCACATGTCCGTCACCGCACAATCACCAGTCCGGTCACATGTCCGTCACTGCAACCTCATCAGCCATCACATGTCCGTCACTGAACCCTCTCAGCCCAGTCACATGTCCGTCACCGCACAATCACCAGTCCGGTCACATGTCCGTCACTGCAACCTCATCAGCCATCACATGTCCGTCACTGAACCCTCTCAGTCCAGTCACATGTCCGTCATCGCACAATCACCAGTCCAGTCACATGTCCGTCACTGCAACCTCATCAGTCCAGTCATATGTCCGTCACTGCAACCTCATCAGCCGTCACATGTCCGTCACTGAACCCTCTCAGTCCAGTCACATGTCTGTCACTGCGCCCTCACCAGTCAGGTCACATGTCTGTTACTGCACCCTCATCAGTCGTCACATGTCCGTCACTGCACCCTCACCAGTCCAGTCCGTCACCGAACCTTCACCAGTCAAATCACTGTGTCACCGGACCCTCACCAGTCGTCACATGCCCGTCACCGAACCTTCACGAGTCCAATCACTGTGTTACCGGACCCTCCTCAGCCCAGTCACATGCCCGTCAACGAACCTTCACCAGTCCAGTCACATGTCTGTCACCGGACCCTCACCGGTTCAGACCAATGTTCGTCACTGAACCCTCTTAAATCCAGGCAAACGTTCGTCGCTGGACCCCCACTAGTTCAGTCATGTCCGGCACCCGTTCAGTCACCTGTCCGTCACCGGATTGTCACCAGTTCAGTCACATGTCCGCCACAGGACTTTCACCAGCCGGGTCATATTCACGTCAGTGGACTTCCATTGGTCTGAGCACGTGTCCGTTAGTGGGCTAATAATCGACAGCGACCGCCATGTTCGATAAGGTTGCCGGCAGTCCGTTACTAGTGATAAGGGTGGCGCTATGGATGGCTTCCAGACAGCACCGATCTCGCCTGCAATGCACTGCACGAACGACAAATATCTCCGCCGCCGCCCCAACGCCCGGAAAATGATATCGCGATGAGCCATTGCGACGACTTTGGGACGTCATAAAGAACTGCAGTGGTTTAAAGTTTGTGGGCGAATGCCCGGGTTATTGAATATGAATATGTCATAACCCTGCAACTAATTTTAGACGCAATAACCCCACAGATGACCGTTTTAGCCCGAACCCCTCATGTGAAACGTAGATCCCGCCGGGCCCCATCCTCCGTTAGAAACTGTACCACTCATGTATACGCGGTGCAAGCTAACCTTCATCCGAAATCTGATAAAGCGCGGCGTAATGCAATACTCATGACGATGCACGGCTAAACAGGCGCAAGCCACACAAGAAATTCATCGGTTATGTGAGGCCTTTAAGACACCATGGAAGCCTGCTTCAGGGGCCAACTAGCAGAGCATGGACCCAGGCAGACGCGAAATCGCGCGTCCCGGGGAGGGCGAGGACCGCGCCCGCGGCATCGAGGGCCCGTCCCCAGACAACGCTGGGAACTCCTCACCTCTCCTGCGGGACGAAATGGTGACGGCGAATGTATGCCGACCGTCCAAAGACAAAGCGCAGAGACTAGCAAGCGGCAGTGTCGTAGCCCTTGACATCCACAGTGCCAGGAGAGCCGCCGGGGTTGCCCATGCAGGACACAATGTCACTGGTCATGCAGATTGTCCGTCCTTGTCGCCCGCGTCCGGGCCGCCGGCCACCATGCTGCGTATGACGGAGATGTTCAGCGGCAAGTTTGCCTCGTCACATGCCCGCTTCCCAGCAGCTCAAGACAACATCCCTCTCAAGAAGACACTTGATCAGACACTGTGCATTATTGTCAGCATCGCAGTCGCTGCGAATATCCAACACATATCTATGCCAAACCTAGCACCACCTTGTTCAAGGGTATTCAGAAGTTGTTGGCGCTGATGAATACACGCAAAAATAATCAAGTTCGATGCAGTTGTCTTAAATATGTTCGGCACACAATTCAAAACAATACATTTCACAGAACACGTCTTGAATACATAACCCATTCATTTCCAGAGCCGGATTAGGCCAGCAACAGGATGCAAACTGGGCAACACAATTTCACACCGCGCAAATGTCCATGTCCTTAACTGAATCGCACGGCACGCGGTGACATTTTGAAGAAAAAAAGCTATGTACTGCCAAGTGTCGCTCGCCCTTGAGGCTTTTTTTCTTTATCCGTTGCGCCGCTTCGTTTTGGCATAAGGAAAGGCACTATGACTTAAGTTTTCGCTTTCCCACAGATCAGCCATGTTCTGTTCAGATTCTGCTCCGAAACGGCATGGAAATATGGATTCAAATGAAATTGAAATGAACGAGACTAGCCACTTTTCAAACGACCCAAAGTTCTCACATTCACGCCAACACCAGCTACGCACTTGACCAATCCAACCTACGTTCCACCAAAGAACTAAAAATCCACTTTCACCAATCCTCTCACACAAGCGTTAAAGCAAGTGACAGACGCCCGGCAGCGACTCATTAGAACTCACAATACTGGCCGCCGTCACACTGATGAACTACCTAGATTGCGCTAAATCAAATCACAACCGAGCAATCACATACGCTCACTGTCGGCTCCCACTGGGAGTGTTAGGCAAGCCACCACGGCAATGTCCGGTTCCTGACAGCACTCCCACGATCGGACGCGGCCTCCTGATCTGGGCTCATCTCCGCGTGATGCCGAGGCCTCCTTATCTGGACCCGCTCCGTCGCTGGCATCCCCAGATACCACCCTGTCCCGTCTGAGGTTACTTCGGGAGTATCCGGGGCTGAACCCGACCGGCAGAAGGAGGGTTGTACTCCGGCCGGGAGCATTATGACCGTGTTGAAATGCAGTTCCGCGGTCCGGCAGCCGGTCAGGGGCGGGCCTCAGTACAGTCCCGCCACCGCCCACCGGTCGGTCAAGGCCGGGCCCTGTCGCCCTGCCGCCCACCGATCGGTCAGGGCTGGGCCTCTGTGCAGCCCCGCCGCCCACCCGTCGGTCATGGCCGGGCCTCAACACAGCCCTGCCGCCCACCGGTCGGTCAAAGCCGGGCTTCAGTGCAGCCCCGCCGCCCACCGGTCGGTCAGGGCCGGACCTCAGTGCAGTCCCGTCGCCCACCCGTCGGTCAAGGTCGGGCTTCAGTGCAGCCCCGCCGCCCACCAGTCGGTCAGGGCCGGGTCGTGGTTGTGGTGGCGGTGACGGTGACGTTGGCCGCCGGGTCAAGCGGGCCGTCCGGCAGCTCGGCACGCTCCAGCCGCTCCGTCTGGATGTACGGCGTGACGTCCGGCCGGAACATCTGACCCAGCGCCACGTTCAGCGCGCTCGTGTCGTAGCCGTGGCAGCCCGAGTAGCGGTAGTGCGGCTTCTTGTTGAAGCGGCAGCCGCCGGCCTGCGCGCCCGTCGGCGCCACGCAGTCGGGCAGCAGGGCGCACTGCAGCCAGGGCAGCATCAGACGTCGGTGCACGTCCGCGGTGTTGAAGATGATCAGCGCCCTGTCCGGCACACGGGTCACACGCTGTTCAGCGGTCACAAATGGTACGGGCGGTCACAACTGAAACAGGGGCGGTCACAAGTGGTACAAAGGCGATCGAAAGTGGTATAGAATACAAATACAGCCACGAGTGGTTCAGACTTCAGAACCATTCAAAAGTGGTGCAGAGACTGTCACACGTGCTACAGAGACGGTCATAAGTGGTGGAGAGATTGTCGCCAGTGGTACAGATGTGGTCACGAGTCGTTAAGATTTCAGGAGCTGTCACAAGTGATACTGGAGCGGCCGCATAATAATGGGGTTACACAGTGATGTGGTGGTCACACGAGGTTCAGGGACTGCCACCCGTGGCTCAGGACCGCCACACGTGGTTCAGGGACCGCCATCCGTGGTTGAGGCCCGCCACACGTGGTTCAGGGACCGCTACAGGTGGTTCAGGGACCGCCACCCGTGGTTCAGGGACCACCGCACGTGGCGTGCGCATGATCAGTCACACGAGGTGCACGAGTGGCAACGTCCAGGAGAAATCACGATGATCATATGGGGTAGGGACGGCCACACGGACGGTCACATGGTTTCAGGTGAGGTCACAATATGGTCGTGTGGCGCAAGGAGCACACTGACCACACGACGTGGACGGACGGTATCCGCGGTACATGAGCAGTCACGTCTAAGGAAGCGGCGCGGCTTGGTCAGCCATGTCGCATGGTGTATGGACAGCACGGCCAGGCCGTGTATTCTCATGGAATGATGAGATCAGTTTACGAAGATGTTTAACAACGGCAGCACTTCAACGTCTCAATGGTGGTGCATGGTTGGCATGGTGCCAAGCGTAGCAAACGGTGGAAAACGGGGCAAATCGCCCGAGCACCGAAAGCGTAGACACCTGTGTTCAGCATCTAGCTCTACAAATCGCCGCGGTAATATTTCACCAGACTGTGTGACCATACAGCTCCCACGCCTAGTTACAGACGCAGAGCAGAGCGACTTCAATTAGATGTGCTGAATCAGAGGTGTACGCGCAGATCAGAGGTGTTCGCGCAGATCAGAGATGCACGCGCAGATCGGAGATGTACGCGCAGATCAGAGATGTGCACGCAGATCAGAGGTGTACGCGCAGATCAGAGATGCAAGCACAGACGGAGAGGTGTACCCGCAAATCATAGATGCAAGCGCAGATCAGAGGTGTACGCGCAGATCAGAGATGCACGCGCTGACCGAACCTCCCAGAGTCCGCATCCGTCGAAGGCCAGACCTCTCACAGGCCGCATCCGTCGGAGGCCAGACCTCTCACAGGCCGCATTCGTCGGGGCCCGGACGAGCAGCACTCACTCATCAGACACCATCTTGTGGAAATAGAACTGCTCGACGTTGGCGTTGAAGTAGTTAAACATCTTGTAGTGCGTGAAGGCGGTGGTGGGCACGGGCGCTGGCTCGTCCTCGGTCTCCTGGAGCCGCAGCGGCCAGGCCACCACGCCCAGCTGGCGCGCGCGCTCCACCAGCCGCACAGGGCTGCCCGGCAGCAGGCGGCGGCCAGCATCCAGCCACAGCACCGCACCGGCCTTATTCAGCACCTCCTGTCGGCGGAGCGGTGGGTTCGGCGTCAGGCCGGTCGCGTGGGCTCGGCTTGCAAGCGGTCGGAGAGCGGCACCAATCGCCGCCTGACCACAGACGGGCCTGCGTCTGACAGCTGAGCCTCCCACACAGGGCAGCGTGAGCGCCTGACGGGCAGACCTGCAGCCTGTCACTAGCTGCCGCCGTGTGCGGAAGCCGTCGTCACTGGCCGCCGAGTGTGAAGCCGCCGGCCGGGCTCACCAGGCGTCACCCGGTCCGAGGGACTTCTTACTTGTTCATGTCGAAAATCAGGCTGTTTATGTGAAGCTGAGCACTTTTTATGAAGAAGACGGTAGTTTACGACTACACCTCTGACTCGTAAGCGCTGTCTCATTGTAAAAAATATATCATGACTGGCCATCCATCACGGGTTACCCCATTCATAAGAACCACGACACAAACATAGCGCGTTCTCAACCACAATTCACCCAAAAAGAGCCGCTGCCTCACCAGCCACCACTAACTGACAGCAGTCCATCTACGCAGCCGATCACTTGTAGTCCCGCCTGGCCGGCGAGTTCAATGACGGTCGAAACCGTCCAGTGAAGGCCGAAACCGTCCGGTGAAGGCCGAAACCGTCCGGTGAAGGCCGAAATCGTCCGGTGAGGGCCGAAACCGTCCGGTGAGAGCCGACACCGTCCGGTGAAGGCCGAAACCGTCCAGTGAAGGCCGAAACCGTCCGGTGAAGGCCGAAACCGTCCGGTGAAGGCCGAAACCGTCCGGTGAGGGCCGAAACCGTCCGGTGAGAGCCGACACCGTCCGGTGACGGCTGAGGAACACCCTTCAGTGACGGCCGACACCCTTCAGTGACGGCCGACACCTCGCCCGGTGAGCTCGCGCGGCGCCCACGGCCAGGTCAGCGCCTCACCTGGATCACCACCGGCACGAAGGCCCGCGTCTTGGCCTCGTCCAGCTGGGACGGGTAGTCGGCGAACAGGAGCGGCTGCAGCCAGCACATAGAGCTGTTGCAGCTGGCCTGCAGCTGCTGACGCTCGTAGCGGCCCAGGCCCAGGTCGTACACGATAACGGTCAGCTGGGGCTGGTGGCGGCGCGCGCTCAGCACCAAACCGGTCACGCTCTCGCCCTGACCCGACCGCGCCTAAGGGCCACAATCGGGACAGCGTCACGCAGTGAAGTGACACGGCGGCTGCGAGAACATATCGGACGGTGTTCGATAAGGTAAGCGTACCCCTGGCACGCGTGGGGAGCACACGCAGACAGCATCACACATGTAGCGAAGCTTCGTCTTGCAGAGCAGGTTCCAGACAGGGTCTACCACTGTTAATACATTTCGCGCGATATCCAGGCCGCTCTTAAGTGCACTACCCCCACCACGATGTCCTACAGGTATCACAGAACAGGCTTCGACTAATTTATTCCTCAAGCACGTTCCAACAAACAGTCAATGTCGTTATATGTACCCGCAAATATAATCACCGCTATCTTCTGCGATCTTGTTTGGACTGCATGCGCTTTGCTCGGATCTATTGATACAGCAGTTTTACATTCTCAGGGAATAGCTTACAGGAACACTCTCCGTTGTGATGTTACACTCTTAAGACCACACCTGCCCTCCAATATTTTTAAGCAAAGCACAACTTTCGGGACGAGCGCATCACCAATGTTGTTAGTTCATTAATTTGATGCAGGCAAGAGCGGCCTGAGCTAGTGATTTTTCGGCAATATGAGTTCTTATGCCGACAGTTATTGACTTTCGATATATTTCGACGTACTGGTTAAAAGACGCTGTCATGGCATCATTTGATCACTCGGGAACATAGGCATAGCTTACAATGACGATACAACCAATGTTTGCTCGGCAACGTTCTTTAACCGGTAAATCCTGGCATATGGAAGGTCCGCGTAAGAACTCCCAACGCATAACTCATTAAGCTAACTTTTCACACCCGAACGCCAGACCCGGCGACCACCATCAACAAACAGCGGCACGCGCCACCGCCTCCGGCGGCCGTCCTGCGGGGTAGCTCCCCCGCCGACGCCCCAGCCGGGGTGCCCGCGCGGTTCCGGGCCAGCCCACGGCGACGCTACTCACGGCTGTGACGACGACGGGCAGCGTGACATTGGTCCACACGTCGGCCGGGTAGAGCCGCGGCGCGCGGGTGAAGCCTAGCGCCACCAGGTACTTGTTGTCCACCTTCAGACGCGGCTCAGAGGAGCGCAGCGAGTCCTGCCGAGGCGCCGCGCCGCTCATCAGCGCCCCGTGGTCCGGGGCACGACACGCCCTCAGCGACACCGAGACTCGGGGCACGACATTGCCGGCTCCGTTATCAGCTCGAGGTACGGCACATCACCGACCTCCGCCCGCATGACTCCACAGCAGGGCCTGCTCAGGTACACTTCCTCAGAGCCGGGGCCCACCGTCAGCCGCCCCGGATCGGGGCACGTCACGTGCCAGGGAGACCGCACACCAGGGGGCGTACGAATGACACTACTCCCGGGCATGACATCGCACATCAGGGAACGTACGGGTGACACTGGCGCCAGGTATGACACCGCACGTCAGGAAACGTACGGGTGACACTGTCCCTAGGCTTGACACAACACATCAGGGAACACACGAGTGACACTACACCCGGGCATGACACCGCACATCCGGGAACGTACGGGTGACACTGGCCCCAGGCATGACACCGCCGGTCAGGGAACGTACGGGTGCCACTGTCCCTAGGCTTGACACAACACGTCAGGGAACACACGAGTGCCACTGCCCCCGAACATGACGCCGCACGCCAGGGAACGTGCCAGTGACACTGCCCCCGGGCATGACACCGCACACCGGGGTGCGTGCGAGTGATACTGTCCCCGGGCATGATAACGCACATCAGGGAACGTACTAGTGACACCGACCCGGGAATGCCACCACATTGGACGCGCCGTCCCCGTGCAGCAGTGATCCCCGCAGTGTCAATGACGATGGACAGTGTGGGGCAGCGGAATGTGGCGCGGCACACACACCACCGGCCAAAAGGACTCATCGTGCGACGACGCAAGACTTAACGCGACATCACATCAGCGCCGCACCAGGCCACTCCCATAATCGTCTCACGGCACCACCACCCATCGTCACTCGGCACGCGAAGCTCCTGACGACATCACGCGCTAGTCACGTGACGGTACGCGGGGTGAGGGCGGGGGGTGGGCCCGGCGCGCCCACCTTGAGGTTGATGTGCTTCAGACTGTTGAGCTGGCGGTGCGTCTCCGTCACGAGAGTATGTATGCTCGGCTGGCTGCTGTTGAGCAGGTACACCACGGTGAAGACGAGCGTGGCCAGCAGGAAGAGCTGCAGGATCGAGCGTACCCTGCGACACTGCATGCTGTCCGCCTGAGTCATGCAGACGCATCTCAGCGGAGCGCCATCTGTCGGAACACGCCGGTGTCGCTCTGAGCTCAGTGGGGAGCCAATTTGCAGAACACGTCGGCGCCGTCCACAGCTTAGCGGGGCGCCATCCGTCGGAACACGTCGGCGCCGCTCACAGCTCAGCGGGGCGCCATCTGTCGGAACACGTCGGCGCCGCTCACAGCTCAGCAGGGCGCCATCTGTCGCAACACGTCGGCGCCGCTCACAGCTCAGCGGGGCGCCATCTGTCGCAACACGTCGGCGCCGCTCACAGCTCGGCGGGGCGCCATCTGTAGGAACACGTTGGCGCCGCTCACAGCTCGGTGCACCCACAGCCAGGCGGGCGTGACGTCATATGCAGGCCAACTGTTCAGATGACAGGTGATGCAGCAAAGGATGGCAAATGACCCAGCTTCAGGCCTCTTGAATTGGAACGGGCAATGTGGGCTGTGTGCCCGGGCTATTTACGATACTTCAGCAGCCATGCCGTGGTCATTGGCAAAATGCGGGGGGAAGGAAGTGCTGTGCGGCAGTGGTATACAAGCTTGGGTAATTTTCACCATTAGCGTGCTAAACAGCAGCACAGATGAGTGCTTAACAGTACAATTCACAATCTGACCAGCTCCGAGATCTGCCAGATGATGCAGACAAATCCAGTCAGATTATCCAGTCAGATTATTGTCTGGAACACCATGATCAAATATTATTCTGATAATGTTGATGCATGTCTAGGGCACACATCATTTACAATACTGTTTGGCCAAAAAAGGCACAGATTCAATGTTGGCAGGCATGCCTAAAGGCATTGTGTCAGAGTCTCATTTTCACATGGAACAGGGTATATGGATCTGTGTCAGACCAAACTAAAATGCAAACTTGGGATCATAGTCAACAAGACTCAAAGTCAAGTGCTTAACTGATTAATCCAGCTAGGAGTCATACTTAATTTTGCTGTTAGGTCTTGTTCAAGATAGCATGGAATGAAGCAATTGCATCATAAAATACATGCTGTGTGAGAGCTAGCCAGGTGTAGAGGCTACGGCATATGGGTAGGTCTTCCCATCTCCATTATGTATTAAGTTGGCTTTGATGAGCCAGTTTCCTTTATTTGGTTCCAGTTAAGTTGGGTTGGGATAAGTTATGTTAAATTTGTTTGAGCTAGTTAACAGCATCAACTCCAAACATTAATATTGATAACTATGCTGCCTGGCAAGAAGTCATGCGGGCATATGGCTTGGTTAAGACAAGGTCAGGTTGAGTTAGGCAGAAGCTCAGTCCATCCCAATTTTATCCCAAGCTCTTCTATCTCTCTTGTACTATTTCTCTTATGGACTTTTTTACTTCCTCCTCTATGCTGGAGAGAACATTGTTAGGTTTTGCTCAGGCCATCAGCATCAAGTTTCTCACAGAAAAGTTGAAAGGGCAGACATCAGTAGAAGATACTGAACACATGCACCTATTTTTATCATGCATCTAAAAATGCTAAGGAAATATAAAATGTTCCATTGCCATCCTTTTTGTAACAAAATGTCCCATGGTCTAGATGAGCTGAATATGCACAAACAGTGTGAGTCCCGGACCCACCTGCTACACATCAGTCCATCATTTCCATTGTTACATACTCCATTTTTGACCCAAAATATTGCATCATAACTACTATAAATGTCCATTTGCAAAGACCTTGAGGCTCTAAGAGTACAATCCATGCCACACATTGCTTGTTGCAAGATGTCTGATCTGATCAGTTGCAAAAATTCCAGTGCAGCAACAGAAACAGCACATACAAAGCACATCTCACTTGCATTGTACATCATATCATTTTACATAAAACCATCATGCTTATTTGGTTAGGCAACAGTCTTCACCTTCACATCTTGGTGCTCAGTAACCCTGGTGTCTGTGTGGTCCTTCATATGTTTAGACATGGTCTACTATATGTATGTTATTATAATTGTTCTTTCTAGAAGCATCATACCCATCATTTTCAGTCATCAGGATAGCATCATACAATTTTGCTATATTCTTGTTGACATTGGTGACATAAACTCTTAAGATGTCATCCTTCATCAAAATTTGTGCTGTGATACCAGTATGCCTAAAGCTACCCATCTCACTGAATACTTACATAACAGTAATATGCTGAACCTGGATAATAAATGTGCCAAGCTTAGATCAGCCCAAATTGTGCTCTATTTTCAACTTATGTTTGCTTGAAAGTAGTTAAGGGTGCTTTGCTTGACATTACCTTTGCATCACTGCAATTTTGTCAGACTTTATCTCCATTCATACACCTGCTAGGGTTCCTTGTTTCATAGATTGAGGAACTATTTGGTCAGGAAGAAGAGGAGCCCAGAAGGAAGTATGCACTGGTCTCATTACAAGTGTACATGGACAGAACTATTATAAATGGTGCTTGAGTGATTTTCTGCACAGACAGCACTTCTAAAAACGCATAAATTTGCTAGCCATAGCTGAAGCAAGTAAGTCCTGACACTATGCCAGATGAGCAATTAGTTAGGCAACTGGGTAATGGCTAGAAGTCAGGCACAGATTTATACTGATGAAATGTAATCTGGATTTTGAAAGATCTGGATGTTGATATGGAGCCCATGTGCTGTAAATCTGGGTGGGCTATGCACCAAAATTACTGGGTGCCCAGATTACACGGTGTATGCACTGAGATTGTCAACATAATTTTGCTGATGGGTAGGCAGGGAATATTTCATGCGAGGTGTACTTTTTGCTGACTGACTGAAGAATCACAAAATTCAACATAAACCATGTGCAGCTTTTGATGCTGATAATTTCAAATTATTAAGACATACACACTTCCAGTCTTGAATCTATCTTGTGCTCCAGAAGCTATCACATAAATTGTTAAACTTGGCATACAACCAAGGCCAGCCTACAAAAACCAACCCACTAGGCCAGATGATTATGTGACATCAGTGAGCTGAACATTATTATTGTGTGCTAGACCCAGGCCTGGCCATATTTAGCTGAATTGCCAAATCGTTTTGCAGGACTTTTTGGAGTATCTTAAACTGGACATTACATATGAAACACAATTCCATAAAACCATCCCCTGTAACCCCATGAAATAAAGTTAGTGATGAATGTCATTAAACCCTAAGCATTGAAACTTACAGCACACCTAAACACACTGGAAATAATGCCACAATGCAGCTGATACAACCAACGTATTCGACGTAACGCGTATATTTGCTTGCGGCATGGGACCGAGATAATCAATATTTGTACTTGAATGTACATCCAACGAGCCAAATTTAGGAATTGTAATCCAGCCAAGCACTTCGAATGCAGCAAATATTAAATACCAACCTCTCCGGTGAATGACAGACGGGCAGTATAAGTCTATATATGGTCTCGCCCACGCGTTCCAAAAAGGACACAACAATTAGCATATGCGCATTTTTTGGAACAGTAGCGCCATAATACGAATAGAATTGAGCTCGTATCGATTAGCGATTAGCGCATTGTCTAGTTCTCAGCGTGGGCATGACTGTCTGAGTCCGATGTCCGCATTTTTGAATAAATTTCGATATAATTCCATTGATAAACGAACGTAAGCCTTGAAGGCCTAATATTGTAACTGGAATCTTCAGCTGCAGTGTGCAACCGATGGAGCATGGATGGATCTGGTAAGGTACCGGGTAAGGCCTTTTAAGTGAGTGCTAATTGGTTCGACGCTTCACAGCTAGACATTAGCTAGTCTTGAATAATTGTTTTAGTGAGTTACATGGCCTTTTTGTGTTAATATGATCAAGGCCGTCTATAAACCGGGTACAGCATCTTAAGTCCGGTGAATGTTACGTCATTTGCTTATCACGCGCCTGACAATTGACTGGTGACATATTTGGAACAGCTTTCGTGCGCAATTAATCTTCTTTCGCTCGGATTTTCACAGCGTTGTGTTCTGGATATCCCTTGGTACTATCAATCTCATGGCAGCTATTTGCGTCCCGCCTTCTTCCTTCTGTTTTTATCTCTTACCCGTCTTTGCACGCATATGCGTTGATTAAAGTAATGTTCGGCTACTGATTTAGATAAAGCTTGAAATCAGCTTTCCTTTGGCCTGTACTTTCTAATGCAATGTTCACTGATAGCTGGTAAGAGCACCAGAATGGTAGGAATAAGTGGCAAATGTGTATGGTGCAAATAAGTGGCAAATGAAGATCTCAGGATCGAATGAGTGACGTCATAGGATATCGAAAGTCCGCAGCCGCGCAGCGCAATTTGGCGGGAAGAAATAGATCCCCAATTTCAGCTCGGCAGCGACGTCCCTGTTCTTCTCCATCCGTTGGACATATCACTGAGATTGCAGTGTTGCGTCACCCGTATTTCATCACATCTCGGTGATAAATTTAAAATAATTTTGTTGTCCCTCAGTTGAGAGGTGAGCACCTACATACCAGGTCCTGGTACTGGTCCTAAAAGCGGTCGTACTCCTGCGGTGTTGATGGACCAGGCATTGTGTTTAGTTTCATCGTCAGTCAGGGAGCTCCAGCCCCCTGATCAAAATGTGAGTTGTAGCTTTGAAGATGGCATATTCTATTCATTTTAAGGGTAGGTTAAGCCATTTTTCCCTGTTTGGCCCCTCTTAGTTTGTGAATCCACTTCCATGGGTAGTAGGTAGGTAGGCAGGTATTGATCAGAATCTAGACAGGCAGGATGGTGTGAGGAAGTTGTAAAGCCTTTTTTGACCATAGACCACAAAGTGACTTACTCCTCTGCTAGGACCTGATCAATCACACCATTTTCAGGATGTGGTTTTGGCCACCTTTATAGTGAGTGCTACATGTTTGAAACAAAGTAGTCCTGGACCAGTGCAGCACCACCAGCTGGAAGCTGGGGGGGGGGGGGGGAAGAGGTTAGGAATGTAGAGATGAATGCAGAAGAGGAATCAGTCTTTGTTATGTTCATTTTTATGAGTGGTGCAGGATGAAATCACTATTAGAATGGTGGGTCTTCCCTGTTCCTTGATAGCTTTGCTTCTACCCTGGATGCCTTGATGATATCCAATCCATGAAGACCTCACTTGCTTCCTATGCCCACAAAAATGAGCTCTAGCTGTCAGTTATTAAAAGAGTTAGGATTAAAAAACACCAGTGAGGTGAGGATGTTGTTTTTTTAGAAAAGAAGTTAGATGCTTGGTAGCATTTGGAGGTTATATGGTCCTGACTATGGGTTTGCATAGCATCAGTGAGGTAGAGTTTTTATTAATTCCCAGTTCTGCAAGGGGAGGCTGGAACTTGCCACCAGATTTTGAGGATTTTGACCCCCACTTTTTGGTAGCCTTGGAGTCATTGACATGGTTAATGACCAGACACAACATCCAAAGTCTGGTGCACATTGCATTGTATTTTGGGCACTGTGCTGAAACTGGTAAGCTTATTCATTGTGTAATATCCATATATTGGGGTTTGACAAAGTTAGGTGGTAAATCTTCCTCACTCTGAAGTGTGGAGCTCACTCCATCTCAATGCATGCCCAACTGCAAAGATGGCTGTTGCGTGTGTGGAGGCACCTATGCATTTGATGCACTTTGCCTGTGCTGGGCAGGTATGCCGCTGACCGAGCTGGACCAGAACATGCGCAGTGACCACACGACCCGCTCACCGCACTCCTCACCCAGCGAGATGGGCAGCCCGGCCCGGACCGTGCTGCGCTGCGTGCGCCTCTCGCCGCACGCCATCCTGCCCAAGCGCGGCTCGCAGGACGCGGCCGGCTACGACCTGTACAGCGCGCACGACTGCGTGGTGCCTGCCCAGGGCAAGGCGCTGGTCAAGACCGACATCCAGGTGCAGCTGCCCGCCGGCTGCTACGGCCGCGTGGCGCCACGCTCCGGCCTCGCCTGGAAGCAGCACATCGACATCGGCGCCGGCGTGATCGACCGCGACTACCGCGGCAACGTGGGCGTCGTCATGTTCAACCACGGCCGCGAGGAGCTGGCCGTGAAGCGCGGCGACCGCGTGGCGCAGCTGATTCTCGAGCGCATCTTCTACCCGGACATCGAGGAGGTGCAGGAGCTCGACCAGACGGAGCGCGGCGACGGCGGCTTCGGCTCGTCCGGCAAACAGTAGCCGCGCCACTGCCGAGGGCCCGGCCAGTGGTTGAGTGGTGATCGCTTACGATTGAATGGATGACTCGGCTGGCTGCCAGTGTCGACCGCTTGCGATTGAATGGATGACTCTGGGCTGGCGGCCAGCCCAAGCCTCTGTGACTTCTGTGATTGCAGCGCGGATTCTCTGACGTTGGGTCAATGCTGAGACGTGTACATCTTTTACTGTTGGCTCGTGTACAAAAAGACATCTGCTGTTCGTAGCCGTGGCAAGGATCCGTACCTCGATATGTTTCGCAAAGTTTCATGTTTTACAAGTGTATGAAATACATCTTCTCCCAAGTGGCCAGTTATTCAGGGAAGGTTCAAATGACCGGGTATTCATGGAAGGGGAAGTGTGTCTGAACGTGAGACCTCAACGGCTTAAATGTTGAGGGTGACGTGTTCGGTATTTCGTACATATCGTCCCATTGTTCAACTGCCGGAAACTAGATGAGACCACAGGTATCCATGCTAAGGAAAGATAAGTCATTTGCCAGAAGACGTGCCACTGCGCGAAGTTTTGGTCCGTTTACCAGCGCCAGTGGGGCAAAATGGATAAGGGAATGGTCTAACAAAAAAATTAGTAGTCTTATTATTGCCAGATCGAAAAGAAAATGTTGCAAGAAGGCGACGCGAACTTGTGCAACTGCAACGGATGTCACGCGGCAGGAAAATGCTCGCGCTTTGCAGTCACCCGCAGCGGTACGGACAGCACGAGGCCGTGATAAAAACGGCCGCCGTCCAGTGGATCCAAGGCGTGGCCAGAATTGATTGAAATAATTGCAGCGTGGAGAGAAAACGCCTGGGAAGAATGATGGCACATAAATCGCGTTGGTGTACCACATTTTGTTGCCTGTATGCCTCAAAAGCATAATCTGCCAGCCGTTTCTCGGACATGCGACGGGGAAGCCATCCTGTACTTCAAATGACTACCAATAGATGGCGCTGGCTGCTCGACGGGTGCCCCCGCACTGCGGTACAACGAGCCGAATGAGCAGGCGGTGAGCAGCTCAAATGACGTCAAATATTTACCGAGGCTTTGGCCGGTGCTTCCCATTTCTACAGGAGCGAGTGGCTTAGAACGGTATTCACTGTCAACCCTTTCTTTCAAGGTATCCTCTGAAAACTTGAGTCGAAGCCCCACAAGCACCTGGAGCATAGGTCTGTTCAGGGACCTTCGCGCCCGGCGACCATCATTAGGTGGCGGGCGGCGGCCGGCCGGAGAGTGACAGCAAGGTGCGCCCGAGCGGGCGCGGAAGCGGCTGGCGGCCGGCCGGTTGAGGGTTGTCTCTAGTCCAACAGCGGACCTCCCACGCGTGAATTTATGTTGAAATAACAGAGCTGTAACGACCGACTGATCGCTTTCAGGTCCATTTTCACGGAGGACGAAGCGCCACTTCGGCTGGATTACTTCAAGCCCAGTACGGGACCTCCCTGCAGGCAAGATGCCAGATCGACCAAAACAGTACAAATATGGTACGTGTGCGCGCATGCCACACATGGAGACACGTATCGATCTTGATATGGCCTTGGCGGTTAAGCTTGCCGTTGTAAAAACGGTGTGGACGTATGCCGGCTGACCAGCTGAAAATCGCCTCAAGCCCAACAACGGATGTCGTCGCAAATTAGGTGCAAAACCACCCAAACTGATACAAACGTTGCACGCGTTCAGGTGTGTGAAAATGACCAAGCTGTATCTGCCGTGTCATCGCTTTCCGTGCCTCATTGCTATAAGTCCAGTGAAAGATCTTCCTTCAGGCTAGGTGCCAGACCGGCCAACACGGCACAAATTTGGCACACGTGCACACATGTGACACATGGTGGCATGTGTCGACCATTCTTTTAATTTGGTGATTCAACAACCCATTGTACAAGCGGCCTCGGTGGCTGGCGACCAGCTGGTCGATGATTGCCTGAAGCCCAACAACGGACCCTCCGGCAAATTAGGTGCAAGGCCGCCCAACCCGTCACAAACGTAGCATGGTTCAGTATATGCATATACCAGAGCTGTAAGGACCGTGTCATCGCTTTCGGGTCCCAACTTACGCATTATGAGGCGCAACTTCGGCTGGATCGCTCCAAGTTCAGTAAGAGACCTCCGTGCGGGCCAGATGCAAAAACAGCCAAAACGGCACAAGCGACGCGCGTGTGTACGCATGCGCGATATGGAGACATGTTTCGAGCATCCCATCGCTTTCTGGAATGAAATTGCCATGTCTCCATTTAAAAGTGCTTTGAGTGACAGGCGGCCGCCCGGTGGAGGATCGCCGCGCGGCCAGTAACGCGGCCGGGGTGAATCCGGGCCGGGGAAAATCAAATCCGGGGTGAAACACGGCGGTGGTTTCGACCGGGCGGAGAGTTCCAGAATTGTTACGGCTCAACCTGCGAACTCTCATTGCAAGATAAAGCCCTGTAGGTCGTTCGAGAAAGCCGTCTTCCCTTTACCACACACTCAGATGTCATCACCGCCTCTAGCACTAACTGAGTTGGATAGAAGCCATCCCCTCCTTGCCACGCCCGGTCTTCTCAGAAGTGGTTGGGGAGGCCTTTCCGGCCCCCTGCGCCTCCCCGTCGGGGCTCCGCCCATCCGGACGGCACGCTCGGCCAAGGTCACCGCTAGCTGACACTCGAGCTCGGCGGCTAGCAGGAGTGACATTTTTCAAAATAAGTTTGGGGAGGGCTCGGACTATAAGGTTGACCTAACCTGCACTAACATCTGAGTTCCCTCCGCATTTCAACCGTTTCACTTGGCTTTCCCGACGTCAACGATCAATGTTTTCAGGGCCCGACATGACCATTCCACAAAAGCCTCCCATTTCAAGCCAATGGGGAATCGCGGTTTGAAACGAGTTTAGAGTTGGGTGCAGTCCAACGGAAAAATTTTAGCAAGAATGTTCGATGTGATCGCCGGAAAAAGGTCTTGTTTATTGTTCATGGGCGAGGTTGTCCGAGGCGCAAACAGACAGCTTTATGCTGAATGGCCTGGCCAGTGGCATGTTCTATCATCAAAGTGGCAGAATGGTCGACACATGTCTCCAAAAGCCACGCGCACCACGTTTGTGCCGTCTTATCCGGTCTTGCATCTAACCTGCAGGGAGTCCCTTACTGGACTTGGAGCAATCCAACCAAAGTTGCGTCTCATGATCGTGTTTTGGGCTCGGTAAGAGATGAGTTAGGTCAATTACAGCTCTATTATTTAAATATACACGCACGCGGACTACGTTTGTACCAAGTTAGATGGTTTTGCATCCAATTTACCGAGAGGTCCGTTGCTGCACTTAGCAATTTTCGACCGGCCGGTGGCAAGCCATCGAAATCGTAGATTGTACAAGGCAGTATTAAATCACCAAATTTATAGAATGTTCGAAGCAATGTCTCAGTATGTCACATGCGTGCACACGTGCCATGTTTGTGCTGTTTTGGTCGGTTTTGCATCTAGCCTGTAGGGAAATCCCCTCCCCCCTGTACCTGATGTGGTTCCCGGCCGCGTGGCAGCCTGTCGCTCAGACTGCTTCGACAAAGAAGCTCCTTAATTTCAGTTCCGAAAGCAAAATAATAGGGAGGAGCGGACGTGCTACGTTTGTGCCGTTTTGGCCAGTCGGGCACCTAGCCTGAAGGAGGTTTCCTTACTGGACTTGAAGCCATGGAGCCGAGGTTGCGCCTCATTATGCTCGTGTTGGCACGGAAAGCTATGAGACGGCCGGTACAGCTCATTCATCTTCACACACATGAACACGTGCTACGTTTCTAACAGTTTGGGAGGTCTTGCACTTAATTTGCCGGAAGGCCCGTTGTTGGACCTGAGGCAATCATCGACCGGCTGCCAGCCACATCTGCGCCTGATCGGGTGCACCTTGCCGCCGCGTCGCCAGCCGGGCGGTCGCCCGTCGCCTGCTGGTCGTCGGGCACGAAGGAGGCCGCTTAGTTGACCTGTCCTTGCGCCATGCCCTGATGGGACTCGGTCGCGAGGGAGTCTCATTGTGTTTGGTATGTGATGTAGGACTTTCCAAGATGTCCTGAGCCCGTAATGGTCGCTGAGTGGTCTCAGGTCCTACCCGTGCCACCATGGCGCGTGTTGTCGGATCGCGTGACCAGTCCCATAGGCGGATCCTGGGGGAGGGGGAGGGGACGGGGTCATGGTCCCCTCAAAAAACTCTGAGAGCATGTTTTGGCCACCTAAAAAATTACCAGAACGTCCTAAAAGTTTCGTCTACTTACCTCAAAAGATGTACCTTAAAATAATAACCTACATAATAGCAAATACATAATAGCAAAATAATACCTCAAAATGAGTGTTGCGAGCTTTGTAAACATGCATACTGTATATAGAAGATTCAAAAGCATTTCGGTGCTTGAATGGTGTCCCTACTAGGTACTCGCGAGAGGCACCATGCACTGGAACTCGGATCCCACACCAGCCAGCTGGCGACGAACGGTTGCCCCCCCCCCCCCCAAAAAAAAACAACTCCAGGCTAGATCCGCCCCTGACCAGCCCTGTGCTTGGTTTAAGATGAATCTGTTAATGATTCACGAATCACGTCAGTTTTTGAAAAGTCTCAAGTAAATCGGCTCCTTCGCATGCAAATTAGGTGTGCTAAATGGGTCGAATTATGGTCTCTCCTACACAGAGCTATCTGAATCAAGCAAAGTAACGTGAAGGGCAAGTATATCGATTCAATTGTTTGATTTTTAAGGAAAAAAATTTGTACACAATCGCAATGACCAGTGCGAAGCATAATTACCCTACCTTGGCTGTGAACAAATGATTTACAAATAATCACTTAGATAGCACTCAAGCATTGCATGTGCAATAAATCAACGCTGAATCGATGCACACATCGAGGTGATAATGTAAAGCAGCACTGAATCATTGAGCTGAGATGCCAATCGACAGAAAGTCGCCTCACAGCAACTAAGATCCCGGTTTGAATCAGATCTGAATCGATCAAGAGTCGTGAATCAATGTTTAATTGGTTCCCCAAAATCTGAATAGAACACAGCATGGCGTGTAACAGGCCGTTGATCAAATAAGAAAGTCAAAAACCTTTAAAAACCTAATCATTTATAAAATAGTAATAGTAAGTTGTTCAATGCATTAGCGAGGAACATTACTCACATAGATAAGACAGTAGTAATACATAACCGTATTCCTCGGAGAAAAACCAGGAGAATGGAAATATAGTTAAGTTAATATTTCGGCAACATGCCTTTGTCGAAACAATAACAGAAGTGATTGTTTCGCTAAAGACACGTTGTCAAAATATTCATCCAACTGTATCTCCATTCTTCTGGGGAGTTTTTCT